ATTATAAAATTATTAGGATAAATAGACTTCTGGTCTACTAGATGATGAATTTCAACTGCACTAATTTGTGCATAATATAAACCAGAAGAAAGTGAAGGTAATTTTTCTAATACAAACTTCTCCTTAAAAATGGTATTTGTAATTAATAAAAATTCACCATTTGTCTCATTTATTGTCTCGATGTGATATCCATTTTGGCGGATATCTCTAAAACTCAATAAATTTTTTCGAGACTTGGGAGAAAGTAGTGCATTATTTATGACAATTTTAGTTCCTTCAGGGAGAAATAGAATGGCTCTTCCGGAACCTTCAATCAATTTTGCACTACCACTGATGGTATTAACATTGTCTCTCCCATTTTCAAATAAGAAAAGTATTTTTATTTTTTAATATAGTGTGCGTAGTAGCACTATCAATGAGACAAATGTCATCATCATTATTATTTAATCCCAAATATTTGACATCTATTTCTTCTTCAGGAAGAAAATTTCAAACGAAAATAAATATTAAATAGAAAGAAAATTACATAAAAGATATAAAGTATCATAAAATATCTAAACAATCATAGGATATTTGTTGACTTCTTCAGGATGTTCAAAGAAATCAGCTATATCGAGGTGTGTCATATCAGCATCATCGCCATTATCATAATCATTCTTTTAGTCGATAAAATTTGTCTCGACATTTTTGTCTTTGTTTTTCAAAGATGCTTGATAAAGGTCAACAAGGTGGTCAGTCGTATGACAGGTACGGGACCAATGACCTTTCATGCCACACCGATAGCATTTTTCTTCATGAACTTTCTTTTCTCCATTTTTCTGATCATAGTTATTATTCCTCTTTTGAGAAATATTTTGTTGTTTGCCACGATTATAATTTTCACGGGGCACAAATCTACTACGATCATGTCCACGGCCACTTCTACGACCATGTCCATGACCTCGACCAGAATTTTGAAATTGAGTCGCATTCGCTTCAGGGAATGGACTTGCACCAATCAGTCGGGACTCATGATTTTTGAGCAATAATTCATTATTTTGTTCAGGCGAGAGAAGACATGCAATGAGTTCAGAATATTTTTTAAATCCCTTCTCTCGATATTGCTGCTGCAGGAACATGTTAGAGACATGAAAAGTAGAAAATGTTTTTTCTAACATATCTTCATCGGTGACTTTTTCATCACATAATGATAATTGAGAAGTAATTCTGAACATGGCTGAATTATATTCGTTGACAGATTTAAAATCTTGTAGCCGTAAGTGAAGCCAATCATATCGGGCTTTTGGAAGAACGACCAACTTCAGGTGATCGAATCTTTCTTTCAAATCTCTCCAAAGGACAAGAGTATCTTTAACAGTAAGATACTCTATTTTTAATCTTTCATCTAAATGATGACGAAGGAAAATCATAGCTTTTTTTTCAACAATTCATTTTTTTTCAACGGTCTTGGTTTGACGGTTCATTTTTTTCAACAATAGTATTACCAAGACCCATTGCTTCAAGATGAATTTCAACATCCAATACCCATGATAAATAATTTTTTCCAGAAATATCAAGAGGTACACATTCTTGTTTTGTAAGGTTAGCCATAAGAAATTGAAATAGATTTATAAGTTAGAAATTTAGCTCAATATGTAGTCAAAAGTTGTTCGGGAAAATACCCAATTGTCGATTCGATATTGGTAGAATCTCGATAGAGTCTTGTGATTCACAATTGCTCAGAAATAGAATCTCGTGCTGATAACGTGTTATAAAACTGATGAAATAACAAGATGTGATATAAAACAAAATAGAAAGAAGCCAATAAAGTAGAGAACTATTATTTCTTCTATTCACTCAAAAACGATCAAGGCTTACAAAGAGATGTTCAATCACCTCTATTTATAGAGAACACTGAATAAGCCGAAAGATTAACCTCCAAATATAAGAGAGGTTATGAATTAATTGTATAGGAAAACCAAACCGTTATCTATACTAACTCTTTTATTTTTGGAGGAATTAATTTTATCCTTGGGAGAATTCAATAGACATAGGAAACTTTAATGGACATTCATTCCTATTTAATTGTTTCATAACAAAACAAATACATAAAGGAAAACAAGCTAATGAGATTTAAAATCCAGTCTTTGCAATTCCTATCAGTTAGTAATAAAAGGGCAAAACCACTCAAGGTGTGAAAATGAGAGACCATGATTCACTGTTACTAACTACTATTCACCATTTTTTTCTGTGAGGATATAGATATGGATGGATAACAGAATATAGATCGCACTAGAAACACTTCCAAATAAGTAATTCCATCAGTAATCACACTGAACTGCTCAATTGGACTGTAAATAATCCTTACACAATAACCTTCTCCCAAAATCCTCATATTGTTTCTGTTTAATCAGCTGAAACAAGACAAATGCTGAAGCAAACTTTCCAAGGAAATATAAGACGAGCCACCCTTGATTAAGCTAGTTCTTGCTTTCTCCTTCAATTCTCTCACTCTTTTTCTGATTTTGCCCTCTGGTTCCATTAGTTGTCTAATTCCTTTCTCAATTTCAGCTGCTTTCACCATAACTTGACTGCTGTTTTTCATGTAATCCATTTTAATCTCCACCGCTATGCCTAAATCTTTCACTGCAAAAAATGCATTCATATGCTGCTCAGCATACATCGGCCATACGGCCATTGGCACCCCAAACCAAACACTTTCCAACACTGAATTCCATCCACAGTGTGTCACAAAGCCTCCTACTGCAGTGTGGGCTAAAACTTGTGCTTGTGGCGCCCATCCAATCACCTTTCCAGTGTCTGCTATTCGTTTTAAGAACCCTTCTGGCAGGACTTCATTAAGATTTTCATACTCGCTTGGATACTCAAGACGGCCTTTAGGTGGTGGACGTCGCAAAGACCACAAGAACCGGCATCCACTAAGCTCGATTGCACAAGCAATCTCCTTAACTTGGTCACTGTCAAAAGATCCAAAGCTACCAAAGCAAAAGAAAATTACAGAGGAAGTAGGCTGATCATCAAGCCATCTGATTATGGGTTCAATCTCTTCTTGGTTGCTACTAATACCAGCATCATTTATCAAAGGTCCTACCTGATAAATCGGCGGTATTTTTGGATTGCTGGTGAGGGCCTTTATTGCATACAACTCTAGTTCAAGAAAAGTATTAACCATGATTCCTTTTGTCTCTGCAATCACTCTTTTGGCAATTTTCAGATTTATGCCTTCCTCGTCAAATATTGATTCAGGGATTAGTTTAGCAGGGACAGGATTGATATAAGTTGATACTGATAGCTCATGGTCAGAATCTTTGTACTTAGATGTATCTTGGTTGTCATCCACGAGACCCTGGACAAGGATACTGAGGCCAAGAATTGCAGCTGCACAAGGGTAGAAAACATAGGCATGGATCTCAAACTCCTTAGCTATATCGATCATGCTTGTGCACATCAAATCCACGACAAGCCCTACAAGTTTGGAAGATCCAGAATGTTTTAGGTGAGCAACAAAATCTCTGACATGGGGCTTATTGCTATCGATCAATGCAGATTGTATGGCAAGAGGGTCATCCGGTTGTGAGGACAACTGGGGATCTGGGAGTTGTATGAATTGTATGTCTCTAGTTGTTTGTGTATAAAGTGATTGGATGTACGAATTAAATTTGGCATCAAATGGCAATTTGAAAAGGAGCAAATTGATTGAGAACTCCTCACTGCAACTTACAAGCAGCTTTGCAAACTGTACCATTGACACCAAGTGACCTATTGCAGGCAAAGGAATGAAAATCAATTCTGCTTTCATGATTTGAAGCTCTGGACAGTAATACCAAAGTATGTTGAGAAAAGGAATATCATGTTTGTTATGCTATCAGGATGAAATACTTAAACTATGTGGAGGTGAGGTCATTGCTTTGCTGGCAGCCGCTTTCATTTTAATTAGCCAGTGCCCACTGATTGCGAACGACAGCTTACATCCATGACCAGAAGAAATCAGGTTTGACACGGCCAGAAGGCAAGACAATTTCAAGAAGTAAATGTGCCAACCCATTTTTACACTCAATTCCCATAGGACATTTCTATTCATTTTGGTAAAAATTTCATCATATTTTTCCATGCACCTTTCTTGTCATTTGGAAGTCCGTCATTTTTTTTTTACCAACCTAACACACAAACTCCACTCTCTTAATACTCTCTCTCGGCCTTTTCTTTTGCTCCAGTAGAAAAACACACCAACAGACACAAGAAGGGAAGAAAAAAAAGCCACACAAAAGGACTCCAATTTTTCCCCTCTCAACTCCCTCTTTCGGCCCTCCTCTTTTCAAAAAAACAAAAAAAAAATTTCAGCACACTTCCAACACACAAACTCTCACTCTCACTCTCGGCTCTCTCCCTCAAAAGGCAAGAAAAGAAGAAAAAAAAAAACCACTCCAACTCCCAACTCCCCTCTCGGTTGATCAGCCATTTGTCTCGCTTAGAATTACGATGGTTGTAGGATTGCTTTTAGTTAGCAGTTTCCACTTTCTAATGACATGTCCCGTGATTAATAAGGCTTTTCAGACAAGGGTTAATATGTTGATCAGCCATCTCGAAAGTTGCTTCCCCCCCCCCCCCCCTCCCTCCCTCCCTCCCTCCCTCCCTTAAACCTTGTGAGAAAACACAATACATCTAATAAAAAATTTCTCAAATCTCAAAAGCTCACTTTAAATCAGATTTCATTTCAAATGTCTCGCAATCTAAAATAAAAGCACTAAATTCAACCAGTAGGCTTCCAGACAATATCTCAGTGGCCCCGGAAAAAGTAAGGTAATCTGACATTAGGGCACCCATTATATAGAGGTAATAAATAGCCTGAATAATTCAAGTCGGAGAGCAGGCATCAACAGTAAAAGGGAACAAACTTTGTCTAGACTCGCCCATGTCTTTCTTGATCCCCAGAGTGGCAAGACATTGAAAAAGTTACACCATGAGCAGAATAATACACCCGGTGGACCAAGAAAAACATATACTCAACAAAAAAAACTTAAGGAATTATTATTTCTAATCTGTATGATGTCAAATCGGATAGGATCCTAACATAGTATACACATGTAACAAAATAGGGAACAAGCCGTAGGGAACGGATTGCCCAGAAAGGAAATTACAACATTACTTATACCTATGGAAATTACAACATTACTTCTACCTAACAAATGACTAAAGATGACTGCTGATATTGGAATAAAAAACGATTTCCCATTTGGTTATATTTCATCTCCCTTAAACCATGAATAGCATGGAACACTTCCAGCTGCTTGGTGCCCTCACAGTTCCCCAGGCAGACAGGTGAGTCATAAGTATACAGAAATCAAATAAATTAGCACTACTTTTGATGCTTCAAGCAGTGATTGACTGCAAGTTGCAAGTGAAGGTAAATCCACTTCCTAACCTTCAGGTGCATTGGAGTTAAAAAGGGCTCACACCTCTGTTCCCCAAGATTTTACAATGGTATACCAGGCAGGTCATACCCTATCCCCAGTTTCATTTCCTCAAAAAGAGGATAGGTGAAAATAAGTATCTCTATTCATACACTCGCTTCCTCTTCAAAAGGGTTGGGATTATTGCCACCAATCCAATGAGGAAAAGAATCGATAAAGTTTTGAAATCATATAAATCTTTAACTGACTTTAGGTCTCCAAGTGCAAGGCCAGCCTGATGATAACAAAAGCAGAAGTTGTAAATCAAAATGTGTTCAAGGCGTGAACCAACAAATAACAGAAAGGCTTCATGCAGACATAACTGTCACCGAGTATTACTAGTGGAGCATATCAGTAATTCCACTTGTATTCAGTAATTTCGATACAAAGCATAACTAATCACATAAAACAACTGCAGAATTCAAAATAAAGCAGAATTACCTATGCTATGGGTCATTCACAGCAGAAAGAAAGAGAAAAAAACGAATTCTATATTCAGGGTCCTATAGAATAATCAGCATCACATAATTACTGACACAAAGCATAACCAATCACATAAAACAACTGCAGAATTCAAAATAAAGCAGAATTACCCATGTTATGGGTCATTGACAGCGGAAAGAAAGAAAAGAAAACTAATTATATATTCAGTGTCCTAGAGAACAATCAGCATCACATGGATTTTCATATATGATCAAGTGTATTAAGATAAAATCAAAAAACATCAATCAGTAAGTGTAACTTAACAGAATCCACTTGCAAGGCAATGACAGGTTAAAGATTTCCAATGGCAAAAGTTCTTACATTACCAGGAACAACCACAAAACATCAGCCCAACGAGACAATGAAGGCATTCCGGTAATAAAATCCCTTTCAAAAATGAACCAAGTTATCCCACTTCTACTTGGTCCAAAGACTCTTTCGAGCAATGGCCTACAGATGCTCTATCTTATTTATCTAAAATTTTGTTTTTTAGTAAGTTCCATCTTTTACAATGTTAAGAAATGGCATATACTGCTCTGTCACACTAATACACCTGTAAGGGTTATCTTAAGCATAATAGCGAAAGAGAGGGAGGACGCGGGGGCGGGGGGGACCACTACCATAGAAAACAGCACAAATTGAAGGCACAACCCATTAGAAATTAACTTACTCTGACAGTAATGTAAGAAGCGGGAATCAGCCCAAGCATAGTGGCCAGGAAAAAGATATGAAATGGTATATCAACAATGGGAGATGCCAGGTTGATAAAAAGGTTTGGCAGGGTTGGAGTTACTCTTAAAAACAGCATATAATTGAGCAGCTTGTCTCTGCGTTTTGCTATCTGAAAAGAGCAATGGAAATGACTGTCATGAATGAGGTGCATATATTACCAATCAAATAAATACAAAACAGTAAGTCTTGGTAAAGGTACCTCTGCCTGGAAAAATCTCAATTTCTCAGGCCAAAACCAACTAACAATAGGCCTTCCAACTAGCTTAGACAGAAAATAGCAGGATGATGCTCCAGCCGTAGCATTAAAGACAACCAAGAAAAGGCCCCTGATAACACCAAAAAGTGCTCCAGCAAGCAACGACATGAAGATAGTCCCAGGAATCATGAATGTCTGCATGAAGATGTATGTTGAGCAGTAACCAAGGATGAACTGTGCTGGGTAATCACTAGCATATGTTCCAAGATGATCTCTGAAATAGAATAGTAAACACAACTTCAAGCAAAATAAAACAAATTTTGGCTATACAAACAATCAGTCTGGAATTGATGGCAAAGTAATGATATCAATAAACTCAAGTCAAGACATATTAGAGAAAGTAGAAAACATATACAACTTGAAATAACCAGATTTGCATGACACTGCTGAAGAAAGCTAGGACACCAGATTACTCAAGCCCCATCTGCAAAATTTGCAACCAAAGGCAAAAGTTCTGAGCTTTGGATTGGTAAAAGAAAATTCTTCTTCTTCACCCAAAAATAAAAAAAATCATCTTTAACCATGTAGCTTCACGTGTGATGTAATCACAGCTTTGACACCTTCATCTGGAAAACAAACATCTAAGACCAGATATTGGCGATAAAAACAACTGGTTGACATGATTAAAACTATCCCATTTTAAAAGTCTGTCATCTTATTCGCTAGTGTAAGCTGCAGAACTTTGTACCATTAGTGGCCCAAGAAAATGCAACCAACTAAACAGGCAACAAGCAACAAATACTCAAGCACCTCCAGAAAATTTAAAAGCTTTGATTGGCTGGGGAAAGGAAATTACTCTCAAAGTACCAGCACATACATTAGCAAATTTATCCTGGTGAAATTAACTGCATGCTATGGGGCCAATAAATAAATAAAAATGTTGTCTGTGGTACAAGACTTCATTTCTGCATGTCCAGCAGACCAACCTCCAGTATGAATTCCCTCAACAAAATGCAATAGAAAAACCAAGAAATAGTGCAAAGTTCCAAAACTTGGAAGTTTCATACACACAGCATGCCCGTTTCAACTCTTTGAATAGGCTTTGCGCATTGGCAAGATAAATAACACAATTCCAGGAATTTTTTTGCCAATATTAAGGAACTTTTTTCCATTTTGGAGAAAGTGTAGTAGCATAAATTGAAACACAAATGAGCTCCTAGAAGTTAATTGTAGAAGACTCAAACTAATTCATGGAAAAGCTATGAACACTATATACTTACACAAGCCCTCTATTACTATGTTCTGCAATTCCTTATTTCACTGTGTTGAAGAACCAAAGGAGAGAACTATGAATTCCTGACAATGTCTATCATCCCTAAATGATCAAAAACAGCAAAGAATCTACTAACTGCATGTATTTCCCCTACCCCATCAATAAATTTTCACAGATAATTTATATCAATATTCCCATAATGCTGGTAAACTCAAGTGGATCCACATATCCTTGACAATTTGTTGTTTCTTTCTCTGCTCAACCAATTCAGTTGCCTCAGCCATGAAATTGGTCTAACATTATCTAATGAGCTCATTGGAAAAAGCAAATTAAAGGTCAGCTATATTTGGGTCCAGGTGGACAGGACCTTGGATCAACCATAAGGCACATTTTATTCTCACTGCGCGCATCAATTGAAGCCTTATCTGAAAAGCTCTCCTTCTCATAGTGCATTTCTTTCATTAGGAAGTTCGAACTACAGACCACTGTAAGCATAAAAATGTTTGTTTCAACCATATGTCTTGAATTCTAAACAACTATTTAACTAGTTGCAATACCATATTTCCAATTCTCAAAGATAAGGAAAGAACCTACTTCTCAAATTCAAACATGACAAATAATTAAACCATAGTACTGGTACATTCCTATCCATTTCACATTTATTTATCTTCAATTGAAGATATGACGCCATATATTACACTGCTCCACATTCAGCCCAATGCCTCCTTCAAGTCTAGCATAGCTCTCTCCAATTATATCCTTTTAATACATAAAAAGCAATACACCAGTACATAGTGCTTTTAAAAATGTACATTATGCTCTTAAAAATGTAGGATCTTGGAGGGTCAAACCAATAGTACACTTTGGGATCTTCGAACTTCTATGCAAGCTCAAAGAATTACCATTTGCATCTATCAAGTGTTCTACCATTCGAGTCACAATGAAACAATCTCACCCCATCCCCCTATGTCTATGTGCACATTGTATTAAGCTATCCACATTCCACTGCTTAAACACCCCTATAAACCTGACCAATTAACTCCACACTTAAACCTCACAATACCACACACATTTTCAATTCCAATCACCATATCATACTACTACTTAACAACAGCCAGTTAAACAAAAACTTCAATATGCAAGGGTCCTACCACACCATAAAGAAATCGATAATTATAAACAAAATCCAACAAAAATGAATTGCATTTATAAAAGAAATTTAATAGAAAAAAAGAAGCAGCCTACTTCAGCATGCGAAGATCAGAGAGGGTCCGAGGCAACTTGAGCTTACTATAATCAGCAGCTGGCATTGTCAGGTAAATACAGCCCAATCCAACGGAAAATAACAGAAATACACCCAACCCTGCCATGACTTCCCATCGGGACAACGGAAAAATCACCCCTTCCCCTACTTTACCCTTCTTCCCGGTGGGCGAATCCCCCGCAACCGCTGCATTATAATCCCCGAAACTCTTCTCCTCATCCCTCGCCCTCCCTCCTCCGACACCAACGCTGACACTGCCGGCATCAACCACCACACTCCTCGGCGCCGCCATTGATGATGATGCTGCAGATAACGACCTGAACAACAATCCCCCAGCGCTATCTGAAATGGACGAGCTGCGGATTAATGACGATTTGGGTTTCATTTATTGATTGAAAAACTTGGGGATATTGACTTGATTTCATCAGATAACGATTCCATTGATGGATCAACAGGTTGTTGATCCAGAAACCGAAACAAAAAGAAGAAGAAGAAGAAAAAAATACCAGTATTTTTTTCAGTATAATTCTGATGGAATTTATGGTCGAAAAACTGAAATCAGACCAAACCAACAAAAAATTTGATTAAGAAATCGAAGAATCAAAGAAGAAAAATGGATTCCGGCTAGGAGGGCTATCGGTTGAACCCTACTTTTCTTTGTTAAGTCTTTTCCTTTCTACTTTTTCTTCTTATTAAACAAAATGAGTGAGTTTAAAGGAAGAAAGACGAAGTGAGGAGAGAAGTCAATGGTGGGGCGTGAAGGGAATCACAAGAAGGAAGAGAGAGTAAAGGGTAAGGAGTCGTTGGATTGATGTTTGAAAATCGGACGCGTTTTCCAAGGGAGAGAAACGAGTGATCTGAATGAGTTTTGTGTGTAAGAATTGAATGCTGGAATGGGATTGGAGGATTTGCGCCGTCAGCTGTGGTGGACGACCAACTTGTAATTGTGCATTACTATTAATTGGAGGGGAAGAAGAGAGATTAAAGCGTAATATTCTTGAGTGGGATTTCGAAGATACCTTTAGTGGCAGAGCCGGAGAGGAAGACGTGGTATCAACAATTCATGATTGCTATTGATTCCAACACCGTACCAACTACTTAATAAGAAAAATGTGTTAATCTAAACTAGGAGAAGTAAAGTGTGTTTTTCTCTATATATATATACTAAGGAGAATGTGCAGCTCACCTCCTCTCTACATTTTTAAGTCTTAGTCCTCTTCTACAAAAAAAAAATTAAAGTAAAAACCACTTCATATAAGTACCAACCACGATTATTGAGTCAAGTGATAAGAGTTTGATACTCCTTAAATAAGGCACGGTTTCGAATCTTAGAGATCCAAAAAATAACATTGAATGAACCATCTCTCGAAATGAACCATTTCTCGAAAAGAAACTAATATCGAGTTTATTGATATTTTTGATATGTGAAGCAATGGCTGAGGTTTGATAGTGTTTTTGTAGTTGATCCGGTTGGTAGAGCTGGGGGCCTAGCAGCAATATGGAAGAAGGAGTTGAAAGTAAAGAAGGTATTGTTTACCAGCTTTACCATTGAACTTTTGATAGAGGATAGTGAATCTATGATAGACTGGTGGTGCATCTGTGCTTATGCGAGCTCAGATGCAGGGGTGAGGAAGGCACAGTGGGAGGTTGTAAGGAGGCGAAGCTCACTATGGGGCAAATATTGGGCTATTATGGGGGACCTGAATGACATTACTTCAAATATGGAGAAATGGGGGGGTAAACCAAGAGCTGAGGTCAGTTTCCAGGCGTTTAACTCTTTCATCAACAGTAATGCTCTGATTGATATTGGATATGATGGAGTCCCATGGACACGGTGTAATAATTGGGGAAATGGGGGGGGAGGTAAAAGAGAGGATAGATAGGATTTTGGGAACTCAAGACTGGAGAGAGAAGTTTGCTAAGGCAACTTGTTTGCATGTGGAAACCGAAGCCTCTGATCACTGTATGCTGGTGTTGGATACACAACCAGGGGGGAGGAGGTGGAAGAGAAGGTTTGTGTTTGATAAGAGGTGGATGTTAAAGGAGGATATAGGTAAGGTGATTGGGGAGGCATGGCAAGAGGAGCAAGCAGGGTCTAAGATGTTTAGAGTGAAGTGCAAAATTAAAAATGTCAGAATGAATCTGTTTAGATGGAGTAAGGCGAGTTGTTGCAATGCTAGGAAACACATAGAACAGGTGAGGGAGGAGATTAGGAGGATGAAGGAAGATAAACCGAATGGCTATAGGATTAAGCTGGCTAGTCTAAAAAGGGAGTTGGCTGATGCCTACAGGAGGGAGGAGCTGTACTGGAGCCAGAAAGCAAGGGTGAGCTGGTTGAAGGAAGGGGATAAGAATACTAGGTTTTTTCATGCAAAAGTGATGCGGAGAAGGAAAGTGAACAAGATTAATGTTCTGAGGTATAGAGGTGGGGAGTGGTGTAGGAATGAGGAGGAAACCAAGCAGGAGATCTTAGATTACTTTCAGCAGATTTTTACAACAGAGAGTCCACTGGAGTTCACGGAAATCCTGCAAGGCATCCCTCTGGCCATAACAGAAGAGATGAATAGCAAGATGATCAGGATAGTAACAGAACAGGAAATTAGTCAGGCAGTCTTCTCAATGCATCCGAATAAGTCTCCTGGACCAGATGGTATGTCCTCACTCTTTTTTCAAAAATTCTAGCCCATTGTTAAGACTGATGTAGTTCATGCTGTTCAAGGTTTCTTTCACTTTGGCCATCTTCTTAAATCAATAAATGAGATTCTAATTAGCCTTGTACCCAAAACTGATTCCCCTTCCACAATCACTGATTTTAGACATATTAGTCTTTGTAATGTCATTTATAAGGTCATCTCTAAAGTAATTGTAAACAGATTTAAGAGTGTTCTGAGCCATTGTATCTGTCACTCCCAATCTGCTTTTGTTCCTGGGAGACAGATTTTAGATAATGTCTTGATTGCCCATGAAAGTGTCCACTTCCTCAAAAACAAGAGGGATGGTTGAAATGGCTATATGGCTATCAAACTAGATATATCAAAGGCATATGATAGAGTTGAATGGATTTTTCTAGCTAAAGTAATGGGGAAAATGGGTTTCTGCGCTACATGGATCCAGTGGATCATGGAGTGTGTGACTACTGTTACATATGCTGTCAATTTTAATGGTGAGAAAACTGGTTTTATTAGGCCCACTAGGGGGTTGAGATAGGGGGATCCCCTTTCCCCATATTTGTTTTTAATCTGCGCTGAAGGGTTTACTTCTTTGATTAAGCAGTCGAATGACTCTGGGAAACTAACTGGGATGAGGATAGCTCGTGGGGCTCCTAGGTTGCCTCATTTGTTTTTTGTAGACGATTAAGCACTAATGTGAAAATATTTTCAAGTACCTTTGTCTGCTTGACATTTAAATTAATTTTTTATCATAATTTTTTATTATTACCACACTCATTCGGTGTGTCATAACCAGTGCTCATAATAATTGAAGTTTTTGCACCAGAATACACTATGTCTAACGTTAATTGTTGGGGTTAAATGCAATAAAATCATGACTAACTATATACTTAATTGCAGTTTACCGCTTAAACTATAGTAATACACTTTTTCCTCCCTTGAATTATTGGCAAAAAAATTTTAGGGTTGCAGAAAGGCATCCTCAATGTTCCGTAATTTTGGCCAATTAGGGACAATTGACAGGAAATGAAGAATTGATCGTTAGAACCAACGGTTTTACCTAACAAAAAATGGGTAAAATCAAATAGAGTCATTTTTAACGGAACAATTGCAACGGACGAAAAGCTCCATTCTTCTCCTTCTTCCCTCTGCCTTTCTGCAACCCCAAAATTTTTTTGCTAATCTCTAGAGTTTTAACGACCGTTATACAACTTCCAAAACAAACAAATTTATTCTAAATTTTTATTTGGGATAATTTCATAACCAAATTGCGGCCACTTTCTATAAAGTATCACTTTCCCATAAAAGACCAGCTCTTTATGACTTTCCTCCATTATAAGAACAAAATACCCATTTTTTCATAAATAAATTTATTTATAGGATAAAATAAAAATAAATCTATTTTTTAATAAAAGACCAGCTCTTTATGGCTTTCCTTCATTATAAGAACAGAGTACCCATTTTCCCATAAATAAATTTATTTATCGGATAAAATAAAAATAAACCCGTTTTTCAATAAAACACCAGCTCTTTATGACTTTCCTCCATTATAAGAACATTGTACCCATTTTTCCATTAATAAATTTATTTATCGGATAAAATAAAAATAAATTCATTTTTCAATAAAAGACCAACTCTTTATGGTTTTCCTCCATTATAAGAATAGAGTACCCATTTTCTCATAAACAAATTTATTTATCGGATAAAATAAAAATAAACCCATTTTTCAATAAAACACCAGTTCTTTATGACTTTCCTCCATTATAAGAACAGAGTACTCATTTTTTCATAAACAAATTTATTTATCAGATAAAATAAAAATAAACCCCGTTCTCCAATAAAACATCAGTTCTTTATGACTTTCCTCCATTATAAGAACAGAGTACCATTTATGGGTAAAATCGTTGGTTCTAACGATCAATTCTTCATTTCCCGTCAATTGTCCTTAATTTGCCAAAATTACGGAATTTTGAGGATGCAATGTGTTTGGGGTGAAACTTTGAGGATGAAATTGGCCAACCACCCAAACTTTGAGGATGAAAAGTCCATTTTTTCCTATAAGATATTTAATCAAATATTATTTCTTGTCTTAATTTTAGTTATGACTATGCTCCATATTTATTAAATAGACATATCTTTATAATTAAAGTTAATATTTGATATTTTAGGATGCCATATATTTAAGTAGATGAAAATTATTTTGAACATAACATATTAAAATAATTTTGTTTGTCAATCATTTTGGCCCCTCCTCCCCAAGGAAAAAAATCTTAGATTCGTCACTGCCTAGGAGGAAATTAGGGCCTCTTGCTAGCAAAAGATTGTGAAAATTTACCTTTATACCCTAATTATTTGGAAAAATCTAATGAACAAATTTTGCAAAAGAAACCTTGCTTCTTGCCAACAAATTAAGTAACTAATAAAATCACCTGTAATGTTACTTTAGCATATTTAATTTATGTTAAATACAAATTCTACCAGTGTCCCTTTCGTAAAAATATAAGCGTAACACTTTTTTAATTTTAGTTACATACATTTATGTGTTTTACATAAATGTAATGATTTAGAATAAAATACTCATAAATAACTAGTATTTTGTTGATGTAATGCAAAAAACCCATAAAGAGCTGGTATGTTATGGGCGCAATCTTTTTTACTTTCACATATTTAAAATTTGTTAAATACAAAATCTACCAGTTTCCCTTTCGTAAAAATATAACACTTTTTCAATTTTAGTTACAAACATTTATGTATTTTACATAAATATAATGATTTAGAATAAAATGCCCATAAATAACTAGTATTTTGTTAATGTAATGCAAAA